GGTGGTGCAGAAAAGGTGAAAGAAGTGAGGTTAAAAACTCACAAGAGAACATATGAATTGCTTCAGATGAAAGATAGTGAGAGCATATCTCATTTCTTCATTAGGGTTACAAAACTAGTGAATCAAATTAAGGTATGTAGAGAAACATTAACAACAAGAGCTGTTGTTTTGAAGATCTTGAGATCTTTGGCTCCTAAGTTCGACCACGTGGTGGTGGCTATAGAAGAGGGGAAAGACTTGTCGAAATTGACAAATGAAGAGCTTCAAGGGACGTTTGAATCTCATGAAAAAATAATGACTGAAAGAGCTGCAAGCAAGTCGAAGAGTGATGTGGCTTTGCAGACACATTCAGCAAAAGAAACCAAAGGCAAAGGAAAATGGTTCGACAGAGGTAGAGGCGGCTACAACAAAGCGACGGGTAGAGGAAACCAGAACGAAGGAAATGTGTTAAATAAGAGAAGACCATACCAAGGAAACCAAAGAGGTGGTGTTGCAAATAGAGGAAGAGGCGGCGGTCGAAAACCTGACAAGAGTCACATTCAATGTTACAATTGTTAGAAGTATGGTCACTATTAGAGTGATTGTCCATAAAAGCGAAAGAATTAAGAAAGTGATGCAAAGTTTGTAAAATATGAAGAAGAAGAGATGATGTTGATGGTCACAACAAGAGATGAAGATATATTCAAGGACCAATGGTACTTGTATTCGGGATGCTCATCACATATGTCTGGAAGGAAAGACTGGTTTGTCAACATAAAGCCCTCAATGAAAAATATGATAAAATTCACAAATGACAATACCCTAGCAGCTGAAGGTATTTGTGATGTTATGATTATGATGAAAGATGACAAGAGGTCAGTAATTTCCAATGTGTTGTACATACCAGGCATGAAGAGCAATTTGCTCGGGATAAGAAGTTATTCAAAAAGAATTATAAACTTTCGATCAAAGATAAGATGGTGAGAGTCATTAACGCAAATGTAAGATTAATGCTGAAGGCTCCTACGTCTCATAATAGAACCTTCAAGATCGAACTAAATGTGATGGAGCACAAGTGCCTTTCGAATGCAGCTAGCAGAGATGAATGGATATGGCATTATCGACTAGGCCATCTAAACTTCAGATACATCAGAGATTTGAAGAGAAAAAATATGGTTTCAGTCTATGGTTGAAAGACAAAGTGGTCGAAAACTCAAAGTTTTGAGAACTGATGGTGGTGGAGAGTATGTGTCGAAAGACTTCGACATGTTATGTGAAAAGGAAGGGATTGTGCATGAGGTGGTGCCACCCTATACTACACAACATAATGGAACTGCAGAAAGAAAGAATTGAACCATCATGAATATGGTGAGAAGTATGTTGAAAAGGAATTATCTAAAGAGTTTTAGGGTGAAGCTGTGTCGACTGCAACATACATTTTGAACAGATGTCCTACGAAGAAGCTAGAAGGAATTACTTCAGAAGAATGTTGGTTCGGTATGAAGCCTAGCTTGAGTCATCTAAAGATATTTGGATCTATTGTACATAGACATGTGCTAGATCAGTTGAGAAGAAAACTTGATGACAAGTCGAGTCAAATGATTCTAGTTGGATATCATTCGACAGGAGGTTACAAGTTGTTCAACCCAATGAACAAGAAAATTGTGATCAACAGGGATGTGATCATTGATGAGCTTAAAGAATGAGATTGGATTAAAAATATCAAGAAAGATTCAGTGGGAATCCTACTTAAAGAACCATAAACTCAAGTCGAAAGAGAAGTTCGGTAAGAGGAACTAGCAGTTATAGATCAACCAAGTATAAGCAGACCTCAAAGAACAAGACGCATGCCTGTAAGATTGCTAGATTGTGTGATTACATCAAATGATGTGATAGATAATGAAGGTGAGTTGGTATATTATGCTTTCTATACAAATGTCGGACCTGTCAATGCATTTGATGCATTAAAGGATTCGAAGTGGGTGCAAGCAATAAACAAAGAAGTAAAGTCTATCGAAGACAACAACACTTGGTCACTTTTCGAATTGCCTCAAGGAAAGAATGTAATTGATGTCAATTGGGTATACAAAGTGAAAATGAATTCAAAAGGGGAAGTAACTCGACAAAAAGCAAGGCTTGTGGCGAAAGGATTTCTACAGAAAGAAGGAATAGACTTCGATGAAGTTTTTGCACTTGTTGCTAGGATCGAAACAATCAGGTTGGTTGTTGGTCTAGCAGAAAAAAACAGATGGCACATATGTCAGATGGACGTAAAGTGTGCATTCTTGAATGGACTCTTAGACGAAGAGGTTTATGTTAAACAACCAGTTGGGTTTGTGAAACATGATGAAGAAAGAAAGGTGTACATGATGCATAAAACCCTGTATGGATTGAAACAAGCTCCAAGAGCTTGGAATAAGAAAATTGATAGTTTCCTAAAGGATAAGGAATTTGTGAAGTGCACAACTGAACATGGAATATATGTAAGAAGAAGCAATAATGAATTACTTATACTATGTCTCTATGTCGATAATTTGTTGATAATAGGTAGCTGCAAAAGTGAGATTCAAGACTTCAAAGGTGATCTCAGCAAGGAATTCGAAATGTCTGATCTGGGTGAGATTTCATATTTCCTTGGCATCGAATTCTACAAGAGCATTAGAGGTTTGATGATGCATCAAAGAAGATATACAGAAGAAATTCTCAAGAGATTTGAGATGGAAGAATGCAACTCAACTTTGATACCTGCAAAATCAAGACTGCAATTGTCAAAAGATGCAGATGAAGATGATGTCTATCCAACCCAATACAAAAGACTTATTGGGTCATTAAGATTCCTTTGTCATACAAGGCCTGACTTAACATATAGTGTAGGTATGGTAAGTAGATTCATGCAGAAGCCAAAAGTATCACATCTAGCAGCGGTGAAGAGGATACTAAGGTATCTCAAAGGAACTCTCCACTATGGAATTTTGTTTCCTGCAACTGATAAAAGAAACGAATGTAAGTTAGGGGGATACACTGATTCAAGTTGGTGTAGTGATGCTGAAGATCGAAAATCAACATCAAGATATGTGTTTATGTTAGGTGGTGCACCAATTGCTTGGAGTTCAAGAAAGGAACCAGTGGCATTATTATCATGCAAAGCAGAATACATAGTTGCTTCTCTTTGTGCATGTCAAATAACTTGGATGGTGAACTTGGTCGAAGAGATAACAGAGAAAGACCATGGAGCAATTACCATGAAGATCGATAGCATGTCAGCTATCAATCTGCCAAAGAACCCGGTAGCACATGACCGAAACAAGCACATCAAAATGAGGTTTCACTATCTTCGAGAGCAAGTAGCAGACAAGAAGATGAATTTGGAACACTATAAAACTGAGAATTAGATTGCAAACATCATGACGAAGGAAGTGCATGTCGAAGTATTCAGAAGACTAAGAACCATGGTGAATATAGATAGTTTAGACACAATGAATTAGGTGGTGTGTTAAATTGTAATTCGATTGTGTCGAAACCGTGTGTGTGTCGAAGAGAGGTTGCTCAGTCGAAGAGCTTGTGAATCGAAGCAAACTACAAACAGATTTGATTGGTTTTAAATTTAGATAAATTTGATTTAGATCTAAATTAGATAAATTTGATTTAGTATCAAAATATGTATTTTGGGCTTTTATAATTTTGGGCTTTGGCTTCGGGAGCAAGCTAACCAAAATTTATAAATAGAGGGAGTAACCTCTAATTTTGTAATTAAATCAATTCATTGTAATTGCAGCTGCAAGTGATTAATAAAGTTTTCAACAGTTTGTGGGCAGAGAGAAACTCTGCAGAAAATAATTATCTTCTTTCTTTTCTTTTCCCATAATTCATTGTTATTGTGTGGTGATATCAATCATGTTCATCAAAATTAATAGAAATTCATCATAAATATTTGATAGATTTCCAACATAAAACAACAATGACGAAAATCATGTGAGAAGCGAGATGAGATTTATTGTTGTTATGATGAATATTAAAAAAAAAAGAATAAAAAAAAAAGAATTAGTGTTGAATTTCAGATAACATGTCTCAACTATGAACCAAATTAAAATTGATTACTTCTTTTTTTGAGCAAACATGTTTAAAAAGTCCATGTCACATAAATACATCTAACGAGATAATAACATATGCATTAATTAACGTTTTTTTAATAAAATTTAACGGAAATAAATAATTAAATTAACAAAAGTATTTTTAAAAGACTAACATCTATTTGAAGTATTTTTAAGAGATTAATATTTTTAATTTAAAAACTGAAATGAAATGATAAATTAAATTAAAAGACTAAAAATTTTTTTGCCAGAAAAACCACCGTAAACCAATAGTTCATTAAATAATTTTGTTTGCTCGTTGATTCAACAATTTTATTAAATACTAAAATTCAATAAACTAATTTATTAATCACCCGTTATAAATTCATTCAGCATAAACACAGTGATATGGAGTAGTCTTGTTTTATCTTGAAGCAATCATTGTTTTGTGAATCCAAGTCAATGTGCTGTATGAATCCACAGATACATTATTGGATGAACTATTTGGCAGCACCCAGTTACCGCACGGTTGGCCATCTTCCACACGGAACATATCAGTGGATCATTCCATTTTATGAAAAGCAAATCAAAAACAAATCACGTGACTGCTTTATCAAAGCAAGCAATTACAAACAATTGTACCACTGAAAATGAAAAAGAGAAGTTAAAAATACATAAAAACACACAAACAAGAAAGCGACCGTTATAACTGAAATATGAAAAACAATTACTACCAAACGAAGTCGTTTAGCAATACCCTCCTAAGTTTCTTAATACATATAATAACAAATTTATTATAACCACAGTAGAAAATTTTAGACACACTACTTTACGACGGTCCAGTTCAGAGTTACACGTCCACAAGCACTTTATCTTCCTTCAAATATATCACTACTTAATCGTCAAACTTCAAAGACTCAAAATAACAAGTCTCTCACACAAAACCTAAACATGTTTACCACCAAACTCCTCTCTCTTCTTCTTCTCTTGTCATTCTTCTCACTCTCCACACATGCCGCCAATTCAAGCGAACTCGAAATTCTCCTAAACATAAAATCCTCATTTTCAAACTCCAACTCCAAACCCTTGTTCAACTCATGGAATCCCAACAATTCCATTTGCAGTTTCTATGGAATCACCTGCAACTCAGTCAACTCCGTCGCAGAAATAAACCTCTCCCACAGAAACCTCACCGGAACTCTCCCTCTACACTCCCTCTGCAACCTTCCCTCCCTCACCAAACTCGTCTTCAGCTTCAACCTTCTTCATGGCAGACTCAATCAAACCCTTCTAAACTGCGTCAAACTAGAGTTCTTAGATTTAGGAAACAACTTCTTCAACGGAGCTTTCCCAGATATTTCACCTCTCAATAAACTTCAATATCTTTACGTTAACAAAAGTGGTTTCTCTGGAACTTTTCCTTGGCAATCTCTGTTAAACATGACGGGTCTGTTACAGTTAAGCGTGGGAGATAACGCGTTCGATCTAACGCCGTTTCCTAAAGAAGTCTTAACTCTCAAGAAACTTAACTGGCTTTACATGAGTAACTGTAACATAGGAGGAAATTTACCGGTTGGAATCGGTAACTTGACGGAGTTAACCGAGTTAGAATTCTCTGATAATTTCATCACGGGGGAGCTTCCTGGAGATATAGTCAATCTTCGAAAACTCTGGCAGCTTGAATTCTACAATAATTCATTATCCGGAGAGCTTCCGGTCGGGTTGAGAAACTTAACCCAACTCATAAACTTCGATGGATCAATGAATCAGTTAGAAGGAAATCTCTCCGAGATAAGATTCTTAACTAATCTTGTTTCACTTCAATTCTTTGAAAACAAATTCTCCGGCGAGATTCCGGCAGAGTTAGGCGAGTTCAAACGTCTTAACGCTCTGTCACTTTATAGAAACAGATTAACAGGTCCGATTCCTCAGAATATCGGTTCGTGGACAAAGTTTAGATACATAGACGTTTCGGAGAATTTCTTGACAGGTTCTATTCCTCCGGATATGTGTAGCAAAGGAAACATGACAGAGCTTCTTTTGCTTCAGAATAATCTCACCGGAGAGATACCGCAAACATACGGTAACTGTTTAACTTTGAAACGATTCAGAGTGAGTCGAAACTCTCTTTCTGGTATTGTTCCTTCGAGTATCTGGGGATTACCTAAAGTTGAAATTATTGATATTGAAATGAATCAGTTAGAAGGTTCTGTAAGTTCTGATATCCAGAATGCAAAAAAATTGACAAGTATTTTCGCAAGGAGTAATCGGTTATCCGGTGAAATACCGGAAGAGATTGTGAAAGCGACTTCGTTGGTGACAATTGATCTTAGCGAGAATCAAATTTCAAGGAACATTCCAGAAGGAATTGGTGAGCTTAAGCAGCTTGGGAACCTTCATCTGCAAGGTAACAAGTTATCCGGGATAATTCCAGAATCTTTGGGTAGTTGTAACTCTTTAAATGATGTTGATCTATCGCGAAATTTACTTTCGGACGAAATTCCTTCGTCGTTGGGTCTGTTACCGGCTTTGAATTCATTGAATTTCTCTAGCAATGAACTTTCCGGTGAGATACCGGAGAGGTTAGGTTCGCTTAAGTTGAGTCTCTTTGATCTTTCGCATAATAGATTATCCGGTGAAATTCCACAGGGTTTGACAATTCAGGCCTACAATGGAAGTCTCGCCGGAAACCCGGGTTTATGCACTCTCGATGGTATTGGTTCCTTCCGGCGTTGCTCAGAGAGTGGTGGAATATCGAAAGACGTTCGTGCTCTTGTACTTTGTTTTACAATAGGTTTGGTTTTGGTTCTTTCTTTTGTGGGTGTTTATCTGAAATTGAGGAGAATGAAGGAAAAAGAGATGAAAGGAGAGGGAAGAAAATATGGAAGGGAACGTTCTTTGAAGGAAGAATCGTGGGATGTGAAATCCTTCCATGTGATGAGTTTCAGTGAAGATGAGATTCTTGATTCTATAAAGCAAGAGAATCTAATAGGAAAAGGAGGTTCAGGGAATGTTTATAGAGTCACACTCGCAAATGGAAAAGAACTCGCGGTTAAGCATATATGGAACACTGATTTCAGTTCTAGGAAAAAGTCATGGAGTAGTACTCCGATGCTGGCGAAGCGCGGAGGTGGTGGAGGTTCAAAGTCGAGGGAGTTCGACGCAGAGGTTCAGTCGTTGAGTTCGATAAGGCACGTCAATGTGGTGAAACTTTACTGCAGTATAACGAGCGAGGACTCGAGTTTATTGGTGTACGAGTATTTGCCGAATGGGAGTTTGTGGGATAGGCTTCATACTAATGAGAAGATGGAGCTTGATTGGGAAACAAGATATGAAATTGCTATTGGTGCTGCTAAAGGGTTGGAGTATTTGCATCATGGGTGTGAAAGGCCTGTGATTCATAGAGATGTTAAGTCTAGTAACATTTTGTTGGATGAGTTTTTGAAACCTAGGATTGCTGATTTTGGTCTTGCTAAGATTGTTCATGCCAATGTTGTTAAGGATTCTACTCATATCATCGCCGGAACTCACGGCTACATCGCTCCCGGTTAGTAACTAACTAACTAACTATATTTTTTATGATTTTCTTTGATATAGTATTAATATGAGTTGTTTGAATTGGTGCAGAATATGGTTACACATACAGAGTGAATGAGAAAAGTGATGTGTATAGTTTCGGAGTCGTGTTGATGGAGCTAGTAACTGGTAAAAGGCCAAGTGAGACAGAGTTCGGAGAAAACAAGGATATAGTTAGTTGGGTTCATGGGAAGACAAGGAGTAAGGAAAAGTTTATGAGTGTGGTGGATTCGAGAATTCCGGAGATGTATAAAGAGGAAGCTTGTAAGGTTTTGAGAACTGCAGTTCTTTGCACTGCAACTCTTCCTGCTTTGAGACCAAGTATGAGAAGTGTGGTTCAACAGCTTGAGGATGCTGCACCTTGTAAATTGGTTGGAATTGTTATTGGCAAACATGGAAGTGAAAAGAAATTTGGAGTCAATGACAAATGAATAGGCCAATTTCACCCCTGTTTACTTAGCAACATATTTTGTAAATTCTGCATGCAAGAAGGAATAATGTAACATATTAATCATAAGTAAGGTTTTAAAAAATTATCCATAATCACGAAAACATTCGCCACAAAATAATTTCGATAAATTGTGTTTAATTCACAATGCAGAAACTGCAATCAATGTTATAACAGTTGTACTACGTTCAAATAATTGGGTTCGTCTGATCTGTATCATATTATTAATACATGATGGTTGTGCCTATAATCTTTTATGATAAATGTGAATCTTGTTTTAATAATCTATTTAGAGGAACCAAAGTTTATTTGTTGATATATGATTATAGTAATGTAATGATAGTTGTTGGATATTCCCACATGGTTTTGAAATTGGGATACCTTAAATTAGATGATTGTGGGATGTGAGTGGGGCAAAGATAAGAAGAAGTGAAGAAATGACAAAGCTTAAGTTGCTGTCAAGGAAAAGTCGGTCAATTGAAAGATGAGATTTTAATATATGTTGATGCATCCCATCCCATCCCATCCCATTATAGAATTATTGGGTGTGGAATGAATTTCTTGTATTATTCAATGCGACCATCGCCATCATCTGCTTCTTTTTCTGGAAATAAATAAATACTTGTAAGATCTATTGTGTTTTTTTCTTTTCTTTTAAAGTGATTGATTTATAAATATTATAATTTTTTTACATTCAATATATTATAAAAAAATACTGCTGCCAATTGTTTGTAGTAATTTAGCCTAATTAACAAATATTATTTGGACTAATTTATCCTAATTAACAATTTTTTTTAAACTATCACGATTATTAGATTATTAAATGTAGATTCAGATAAATAATGATGTATGCCTCAATATAAGAGATTATCTATAAGAAGTCGGAGCCGACTATTTAGTTAGACCCAGTCGGATATGAAGCCGGAATGGGTAAGCAGTTGAGGGTCTGCCAAAGTGTAACTCGAGACCGACGCTGAATAAAGTTGTCAAATATAAACTTGGCTCAATACAACTGATTTACAGGCAGTCGGACCTGATGAGATGAAGAGTTGTAACTAATGATTGATGACTAACACTTATGAAACAATTACATTTGATTAATGGATCGTTACAAGAATTAAGGAAATGTTATGTTATTATGGTCATTAATCGTGGCTATTCAATAAGAGTTAAAGCCTATGATATATATAGGTCTAAAGACCAAAGGTACAAGGGAGACAGAACACTAGTTCGTCCGAATTACAATAAATAGAGAGGCTCTCGCAAGAGGGATAAACTAGACACTTCTCTTGAAACAATACGCTCAGTGACGTAGCTCCTAAATCTTCAATAATCCTATGAACCTACTTTCGTGATTTTACTCATCTCTAGAGAAAAAGTCGGTCAAATATTTATTCTACACAAAAAGATTTAAAATTATGATTCTGATACATTATAATTTATGCATTCATTAAATTGTAACACTCCAATTTAAATTAATTATTTTATTTAGTATTAGTAGATTTTTCTCTATATCAAATACTTAAAATTCATTATCATTTGAAAAAAAAATGTTAAATTAAAGTATTCATTAATAAAAAATAGTTACTTTGACTTTTATGTAATCAATTATACATTTTAAGATAAGATACGTTGTCATAGAGATATTTAATATTTAAAGTGTAAGGGAAGGAATGCAAATTTTATTAGAAAGTGTTGTTAGTATTCCTTAATTTTGAAGAGTGCTATAAACACTCACTTTTTAATATTCTTTTCAATATTTATTTTTTTATTGAATGAAATGTACCTGAATCTCTCATTTTAGAAATGAGTTCTACATAAAAAAAGAAATGAGTTCAATCAATAAAAAAAACGAACAATGAGAGAGTGTTCATCTTATTATTCTCCACTTCCTTGAACTAATATCATGAAACATCTTCAATTCCAAAACTCCATTTTTTTTCTTCTTCTCTCAAAATTGACTTAAACTTTCATTTGTCCATACTTAATTGCATCATTGAAAAGGTAAGTTTTATTACTCCATTATTTCCTCTTAGTAATGAACCAAATTTTTATTTTGTCAAAAAATTCTTTTTTCCCCAATTGTCTCTTGAAGTTATGTATGTGCGAACTTGACACTCAATAATGGTAATTAACTTACATGCTGGTGCTAAGGACTAGGAAGAGACTCAAGAAAGTTTGGAGTAGTGAGTTAAACCAAACATAAGCTTTTGACTTAACGTGGGGTCCTTTTAGGTTTGAATTTTTATAAAATGAATATATTGTTGAATTAATAGTAATTTTTGGATTAAGTAGGAAATAATTAGCACCCCATCTCCCTTGAAAATAGAAATTTAAGATATGAGAATAAGTGATTAACCAATTATGGTTTTTTGTTGTTGTTGAAGGCTGTTTTGTATTAAATTAGAATGTTTATATTTCATTTCTAGGATGAAAAATACATAATTTGTATGACACATGGGTCATAAAACAAGTCGTGTCTTTTATTTCACAACTCTGATTCAAGTTCTATTTTTTAATATGTGAAAAATAAACTCAATTCCCTTTAGTTTGAGTTTAAATTTTATAGTGAGAAAATTATTAATGAGGTTTGAGAATGGACATTAAGTTGGGATTATACTTTAGAAAAAAATGCGGAATTTGCTCTCCTAATTTTAGAATGAAAATTTGTAATTATATAAAAAATTACATACATATGACTAGTCCTATATAAACCTAGTTATTTAATCCGAGTCAAGGAATAAATTAAAGATTAGATGATATTTTGTTATATGTTTGTTAGTCTGTCAGTTGTGTGTGCATTATTTAGAGGATGAATGGAACTTGTTTATGGGATGCAACGTAATTTATCATCGGAGGATAGTGTTGTTGTTGTAGAGCGACAAATAAAAAGTAAGTTAGTAATTTATCGGGTGATATAAGTTATGTCGTATCGTGTCCATAGAGATTGGTGTATTGAAATCCTGTTCGACAAATTTCTCGTTAATGAGTTTGGGATGAATGAGTTGAAAGAAAATGTATTAACATAAAATAAATATATAAAAAGGAAAAAGAAATAACTTATCAAACATGCATATATACTACTTTTCACAGACTTAAACATATCGACCTGTTATACTCAACCTACAATATTCATCAATGTCACTACGTATCACTCACAACCTAAGTCATTTCTAACCCAAATTGAGAGGCCGACTGCATCACCTCGGTAGCGATCTCTCAACCACCTCAACAACACAGAAGTCAACCGTGCTCGCCTACATCGATGATCTCTCAGAGCGACTCAAACAACACAGAGACATTAAGCTCTGATACCCAAGTAGATGTCAGCTCTAAATCTAACTCTAGAGTTCAGAAACTAACAGATAACCATCCTAGATAAGAATCTAAGCAATATATGTCTATAAAAACTCAAATCTATAACACAGAGTAAAAATTCAGGACAACAATCCACAAAGATTCGTAAAGCAAGTTTAATATAACGCCAAGGGCGACAAATATACACGAGTTCAAAGAAAATATACATACAAACCCAACCAATAGAGAATACACAAAGAGGAAGAGAAATGAACCACATATCTACCAATTTTTCAGAGCCGATCGAAGAGCAATCCACCTGGATCATCCGTATGCAAGCTCCATAGTTGTTACCTAAGCTAATCCTAACAAAATTTACATGTTGATGGAGTTGGGAGCAAAAACTTCCTTAAAACCATAACCTACAAATGAATGAAATCTATTTTTATAAAACAAAACTCAGCAGACCGTGCTAAGCGGGCCTGGCGCGCTAAGTGCGACTTTATTATTTAACATATCAAATCGATCTAAACCGCGCTAAGTGGGCTTCAAAATATTGGTTCTGCCAAATTTTCAAACGCAAACAGCACGCTACAAAATGCGCTGAGCGATTCTCGCGCTTAGCGGCCTCTGCGCGCTAAGCGGACTCTCCTGGACAGAATGTCCCAAAACTGGTCTTTTATTCCGAAAACGCGCATCCAGAGCCATACCTTCGACACTTCATTCCTCAATACTCCAAAATACAATAAATACCTACAAAATGAATGGAAAAATATCAAACGGTACACTATGTACACAAAAATACAAATAAACACAAACTAAACGTATTTACATAATAGTCGGGTTTATTCAATGATATTAACAACAAAAAGTCGATAAGTGCAACAAAAAGTATATACAAAAAAACTACAATTTACACTTATCAAACTCTCCCCAACTTGAACTTGTTTGTACTCAAAGAACTAAAAGTAATAAACCAAAGAATTATGAATCAATAAGTTTTGAAAATGGAAAACAAATGCAATGGCTCAACTGAAAAATAGTACACACGAAGAAATATACTTACCACTAAACTACGACGATAACATAAACATGAAATGAATGCTAAATACAAAGAAAATGCCAAACATTCTAAAATAACACTAGTTCATAAATGAATCACACCTAGCAAAAACAATCATCGGTAGATGAAAAACACACAAAGTAAGGTATTTTCACTCATCCAGAATCTTGTAAACAAAAGACTAAATTATGCATTTATTCAAAAATTTATATTGAACATACAAAGGCATGAATCTGAAGGACTTTTCAAGGTTGTAATGTGGCTTGGTTAACAAAAAAGTGATAAGTCCTAAAGCTAATCAAAACAAAAACTTGTCTAAACCTAAGAGAGTGATCAATTCACCAAAGTTCAAAATAATAGAATTTCAATAAAACTTTTTCTTCATCCCAAGTTTAAAACCAACACACATCACTTATTAAAACAATATTATTCCAACTCTTTTTGTGTTTCTTTTTCAAAGCTTTTCTATTTTTTTTTATTTCTTTTTCTATCACTTCTTTTTCACATTTTTTTCTTTATCAGCCTCATAGCAATCAACCAATAAATACACAATTATTTTTTCCCCAACTTAAATTCAACCATACATTAAAGTGAATACTCCATACTTTCTAAGGCAGGGTAAA